CTCAGAGTGTGAGCCCTGTGGGTAATTTTATTAAAATCTATTAGAAATATTTGTTTATTTGAAAATTTGCATGAAATAGGTACTCAAGTATGGGGTTTACATTTTATCCCAATCATATTTTTTACTTACTCTTTTAACTAAATTTAAATTTAAGTAAGTATAAACTTTATTCTTAAAAGTAAAAAAAAAAATTTAGCTGACTACCTGGGAGGTTTGTGGGAACTGTGAGTTCTTTATTTTTGTGATGCTGCCATCTAGTGAACTTTTGGTGAAATCACTTTGTGATAATCAAGTTTGTAGCTTCTGGTCTTTTAATCAATTATGTTTGATGCGGTTGATTTGGACAGAATTGTACACACATTAGAACATAATGTAGGAGCCACTGGTGTTTTTTTTTTTAAGGTGGTGTCACAGATGTGACCACAGGGCTTTTAGTAAGGGGTTAAGTGTGAAGTTCCATAGGTCCTCATTGTGCCATTCTTTATAATAAACTGATAATAAAATAAAAGTGCTGTCTTTTTTATTCCTTGAGTTTTCTAAAAGAAGGGTGATTTGCAAAATCATATCTATAAGACACTGAGTTAGTCTAAAATTTTAGTTAAGATGAAAACTCGTTAGTCTGCAAAACCAGGTTTTGATAACCTCTAAATCTTAATAAAAATTAATTGCATTTCTTTTCTATCATTCCTAAACCTTATGTTAGAATGGAGAATCTGTTGTATTTTTTAAAAAAGATGAAATAGAGTTTTTATTTTTTTTAAGATTTTATTTATTTATTTTTAGAGAGGGAAGGGAGGGAGAAAGAGAGAGAGAGAAACATCAATGTGCGGTTGCTGGGGGCCATGGCCTGCAACCCAGGCATGTGCCCTGACTGGGAATCGAACCTACAACACTTTGGTCCACAGCCCGTGCTCAATCTACTGAGCTACACCAGGCAGGTGAAAATTTGTTGTATTTTTATGCTATACATTACTTATTTTTCATGAGAAACAAAGTCCAAATTTATACCCCTAGAACATTAGTTATTTTTTACCAGTAAAAACTTTTCTGAGATGCTACTTATGTCCAATAATGAGCAAGATTTCTAATTAACCAATTCTTCAGTATATTGATGTTTGTAAAATAGAAACTATGCTTTATGGTAAGGATCGGAAATTCCTTCTTTTCTGCAACAGGTGGGATAGTAAATAATTTATACTTTGTCAGCCATAATGTCTCTGTTGCAGCTACTCAATTCATTTGCAAAAGCATCAACAGATAATATTCAAGCAAATGAGAAGTTTGTGCTCAAATATATCTTTATTTATTAAAAGCAGGTCATGGTTTGCATCCTCTGTTCTAGGTGCAATTGCTATAATAGCAGTTTGGGGTTATTCTTAAGCGATGTTAAAATAATCTAAAATCAGTCCCTCTGCAATTATTTCCTTCAAAATACCAATTGGTAGATGTTTCTTCAAAGTTGCAGAAAATCTAAAGTTTTGAGAATGTAATATATATGCTATTAGTAAACTAACAATACAGAACTCAGAGGTAAAACATTTTTGCAAGGCGAACTATCACCCTTATTTAATGATCAGTTGGTTTTGTCTTGTCTTATGTTCATGTAAAGAGTTGTCTCTTTTAAAATATTTTATTTATTTATTTTTAGAGAAAGAGGAAGGGAGGAAGAAAGAGAGGGAGGAGAAACATCAATGTGAGAAAGAAACATCAATCAGTTGCCTCTCACACCACCCACACCAGGGATCAAACCCACAACCCAGGCATGTGCCCTGACCATGAATCAAACCAGTGACCTTTTGCTTTGCAGAACGATACCCAACCAACGGAGAAACATGGGTCAGGGCACAAAGTTGTCTTAATGTGAAATGAATCGCTATGTTCTCTAAGTAAAACTTAACATTATGATATGCACAAAGCTAAATGGTTTTGATGGTTATCTATTAATTTAGCAAATTGCTACTTGGGTACAGTTTGGATAATACAAATTCACTAATCCAGATTGTTTTTCTGGAAGAACTTGTTTCTAAAACACTGAATTCTACTAGGCAGACATGCAAAACACTTGAAGCCATACAAGTAAATAATGAGAATAAAGTCAGACAACATGAAGCTGTTAAGGGTTCAAGTCAATGTACAGAGAAAACGCAGTGTAGAGGCAAAAGTATTTTTACCAGTTGTGTGGGGGGAGGAACAAACTATCATCAAGGTTCTTCTGGCTGATTAATAACCAAACAGACATAAGACAGATTAGCAAGAGAAAATAACTAAGTTTAATACATATGTATGTATGGGAATCCTGCATATGTGTTAGAGTTGGAGATCCCACATGCAGAAATGGTTCAGAGGGAATATGGGCATATAAGACATGCAGAGCTAGGAATGAGGTGATGTGCCTGTGAGGCTTCAAAGGGTCAGTGGAAGATCATAATAAAAGATATTTATTAAACAGAAGTTATATCTGATGATCTCTTATTATGAGCAAAACCTCAAGTTCAATTTTTTTAGGTAGTTAAAGGGAGGTGCAGGAATTTCTCTTGAATCTGCTGCTAAAGCTGACATTACCTCTAAGTAATCTGCATATTATTGAGGCACATCTTTTTTTTAAATTTTTTTGACATCCAAGTCTAAGTACTTCAAAGTGTTTTTTAAAAATATGTTATTTACTTATTTTCAGAGAGAGGGGAAGGGAGGAAGAAAGAGAGGGAGGGAAACTTTGATCTGTTGCTTCTTGCCCATGTCCCCAACCCAGGATTAGGCCTACAACCCAGGCACAAGCCCTGACTGGGAATGGGACTGGCCACATTTTGGTTTACAAACCAGCACTCATTTCACCAAGCCACACAAGCCAGGGCACCGCTGAGGCTCATCTTGGTGTGACTTGTTCTCAGTGCCCCACAGTTAGTTATCTTTGTGTCAGCTGATTGAGGCAGGACTTGGTCTCAGGAATCCTGCTAGTCTCAGCTGAGCTCATTCGTGTATCTCTAGCTAACTAGAGGAGGGTGGGGAGACAAGCAGATCCAGGCTGAGCTCACTAAGAATGGTTCTGATCTAAATACATTTCTTCCATCTTCCATCTGGGCAGCAGGTTGGCTCATGCTGTTCCTTCTCATAGAGATGGCAAAGGGCAGGGGAGAGCAAGCCTATCCACTGAAGAGCTTTTGGGATTCTGCTTGTAATACATGTATTAACATTCCTTTGACCAAAACAACTTACATGCCTCACTCATCCCAGTGGCACAGAATTGAACCCTGTCCACAGTGAGAGGGACTGAAGTTATCTGGCAAGGAACATGAATATAAGAAGGGACAAAGAAGCACAACTGTTAAGGAAATTTGTCACAACATGTATACACTTGAGTCAATTAAATTAAATGTGGGCTTGATGTGAGATTAAGTGATAAACTAAAAACTTTCATTAATTCCTTCAGTTTAGTATGATACACCATAGCATTATTCTTGAATGTTTCAGTAACACAAAGCTTTTATAACTTTAAAAATCATAGAGGACTCAAAAAGGGTTTCATCTTATATTTATATCTATTTGTATTCAATGAAATTACAATTTCATTGAATTTGTAATTCAATGAAACTTTTTTGTTTTCATTTTTAATTTTTTAAAATTTACATTTATAAATTTAAAAAAATATATGTTTTTTATTTATTTTAGCATAGCAAATTTAAAACCTATTACATTTTAACATAAATTATATATTGTTAGGAAAACAAACTTCTGAAATGAGTGAAAAAATAATGTTTTATATTTGACAAATCTTTTTATTGTTTGGTTTAATAAAAGACAGCTATTTTTTATATCTACTTCTTCATTCAATCTCTTGCTTTTTTTATCTTTGTGAAGAATATGAAGAAAATCGCTCCTCATGCTGATATAGAGTCAGAAAAAGCAGAAGTTGTTTAATTGAGGATATTTTTTGATAATGCACCAGAATTTGACAAGTGAGGACTTCTTGGAGTAGTAGTGTGGGATGTGAAACAAAATGACTGAACTTTCTGTACTTTGTTACATGAAAATGTATTGGTTAATTTGCATTTTGAATAGAGCTTAATCCATGATACATAACATTAAGTATTGGTCATTTGGTTTTCTGAGCTATGAAGATTTTCCAAATATTTACGTACTTCATTATGTATCATTTTTAAATTATATATCACTACTAAGCTAATCAGAAACATTTTTAAATACTGGGAAAAGGTAATATTCACAGAAGTGAATACAAGTTTCCCAAAGTTCTAATATCCCTTGGAAGCTTTTTTTTTTAAATTGGAAACAAATGCTATAAATTGTTTTCCTTGAACTGACAGACTCACATGATTCTTACTATTACTTATCAGTTTCTGTTCCATGAAAAAAATGGTTCTTCACCAAGTAAAAGTAGCTTGCTGAGATACAACTCAATTTATAACATTAAGTTCACTACTTTGAGACAACCATCTTCAGAATGTGGTTTAATACTTTATACATACTTCCCATATTATTTAACCTTAAAAATATAAAAATTTAGGTTTTGAGATTTCATCATTTGAATGAAAATGATTCAAATGATGAATCTGCAAATTCATCATTTTTACAGATTTATCAAGGAGCCTTTTAAGTAAAATTATCTTTTCCCCCCTGCAGCTGAATGGCTTTGGGATGCAGTTGACCACTTGTAGAGTTTGGTGCCATTGGCTGGATTTGTGCTAGGCCACCAGCAATTTTGCCCATCTGTGCTTTTGCATTATCATTGCAAATATCAATGCAGTGAAGAAGGAAAAGAATGTCTTGGTATTATGAAAATTGTTTTAGCCTAAAAGAATTTTGGGAATGCCCAGAGTTTTTGTGGTTCTCACTTAGTGAACCATAGAATCAAAGGGTGATCCATATTTCTACATGTATAAGTTAATATTGAACATTACAGCATTTTGTTGAAGATTCTCAAGGATATTTATACTTATTTCTAATCATTAAGCAAATTTAAAACTTGTTATTATGTTTTCCCCCAGGGTTGTTTGGTTGGCTTTGATCTAGCACACGCAGTTGGAAATGTTGAACTTCACTTACATGACTGGGGAGTCGATTTTGCCTGCTGGTGTTCCTATAAGGTACAAAGTAGTTAATATATTTACATCCTTTTATTCCACATTAACATTAATCTAAATTAAAAATCTGGAGAGGCAACCAATTTTAACTATTGGAATTACTTTTGCCTATTTCTTTTATTAGTGTATTTCCTGATTTTAGTTAATTATAGAGTCATACAATAGAATGGTATGATAATTAAATTCTGGTGTTTCCATCCACTATAGAGTACTTATTCCTTCAGTTCTCTGGCTGCTATGAAAAGTCGAGAGGTTATGGAAAAAAACAACTCTACACTTAAAAGTTAATTTAAGTTAATTAAATTTTTTAGTTTGGGTTTTTTTTTTTGGTATGTTGTGAAATTTCTACATGTATAAGATAATTGTTATGGAATTGAGTTGATAGTGACATTTGAAGACAATTTAATTAACAGGGAGCATGGGAATAAAACCAATTTATTTTAATTTAGGTAATTTTAAAATGTGATAGTTTTATTGTTATTTAAATAGTTTTGTGACGAAATAATTGAAATGACTTCAATGGATTAGATTAGATTGGCTTCAGTGGCACTATTATCTACTAGTCAGAGCAAAATCTGGCCAAAAATAATAGCTATTTATTCTCAATTAATAATTCTATGTTTCATTTGCTTTTCTTTGAATAAAGTGACCCAAAATTCTGTTTTACTATGAATGCTTAAATAATCACACATTTTGAACTGGTTAAAAGTTGATTTCATAGCAACAAAAAAGTCTGATTTCATTGTTTATCTTTGATATATATTCAGAGGAACCCATATAATTTCATTTATTTTCAATCCAGTATTTAAATTCAGGAGCAGGAGGTATTGCTGGTGCCTTTGTCCATGAAAAACATACCCATACAATTAAACCAGCGTGAGTACCATTTTAAATTCTCCTTTGGTGATGAATAAATTAATCTGCATTAATCAAATGCTAAATTTATGTGAATTCTTTAAGATGTTATCCATTATGAATCTGCATTGACTATAATTATTTTACTACTGTATTTACTACTGTACAATGATGTGCTTTATCGGAAATAAATTCAATTGGTTGAGCAAAAAAATCACAAAAAGGAAACTCCAATGCTAAAAATGAGTTATTGTAGTCATGTAGAGCAGATGGTTTAAAGCAAAGAGAATGCTTTCTTTTTCAAAAATGAGACTTCAGAAAAGTTCTGATTTCTCACATTGATGAATAAATCAAAGGCAACCAGAGATGTGCCTAATAGAGCCTTAAATGTAGTGTGTTGTTATTTGGATCGCATCTACCTCTGAAGCCAGAAACATAATATGATGGTCTTGTAAGGAATATCTTATGCCCTAAAAGATTTTATAATCTATGAAAACTGAAGAAACTGAACACTAAACAACTGATTAACTACATAAAAACCAATATTTCTATGTTATATAACTTCATTTTTTAGTGCAAGTATAAATGCAAATGTGACTTGCCAACAAATTTACACATTTTTATGTGACTGGGAACTCACAGTGTACCTTTTCTTATTATCTGGTATGAGGATTAAGAAATAATATTCTGGAAAAAAAACCTTTCATAGTTTTATCCGAGTATATGTGATAAGGAGACTGAGTAAACTCTTACTAGGTAATACAATAAAGTTCAGTTAATTTTCTGAATTTTCTCAGCCCCTGGCTGAGTGGTGAAATCTTTACAAGAATTGAAGCTGAATTAGTAATAAAGCTTGGGGTACCTCACGTTTCTGAGGTTCTATATATATAAACCCTAAAAATCTAAGATAATTTTTCTATAGTTCATTTAATTAGTTCTACAATTTCCTTAAGATTTTGAGTTTTAAAATTAAATAGATCATTGTCTCTAGACAGGTATTTTGTCAGACAGATGCTTTCCTCTACTGACTGTCAGTACATTAGATTTTCCCTGTGCCCCTAATTCTCTGACAAGAATATAAAGCATATGTTCTAAGACTGCCATGCATGTAGGAGAAAGACCATGTAGGCAGATTCACAGGACAGCTTGACTGCTCGCTGGTCCATGATATGAAGACTGTTCCTCGGTATCTCCATGTTCTGTTCTATCCTCTAACTAAAGAGAGTATCAGCATCTGCCTCATTGTCAATTGTGTGAGAATAAAATGGCATGAGACATGTAAAGCACTAAGCACAACCCATAAGTATTATATGTGATCCACATACATAAGCTAAGAACTTCGTTGCCTCTCTGTGAAGTGGCATTTTTTACTTAGAGACTTTTGCCTAGTAAAGATCATTTCTCTCAAGGAAAGAACATAACCCCAAACATTATGTTTTCTGACCATTAGGACTTTATACAATTTTGTACCCATTACCAAGTTCATTTCCACAGGCCTTTGACAGGCTGACTATGTAAGTTTCCATTCCTTGATTCTCTCTTTTACCGGCCTTTCATCTTACTGGTTTCCTCACTAATTAATGAGTTGAATGAGATCTTTATGCATGTTCATTTTTTTATTTGTATATGCTTTTAACTGTTTTTTTTTATTCTTATACTTTATTAACTATTGTTGAATTTTAACTATCTGGCCTTGGAAACTGACAAGACTCAAATCAGGCTTGACTCACAAAACCCTCCTTCCAGGAAAACCTGGTTGTTGTGCTTTGTTAGTTTGTTAAAGCTTCTTTTATGTGATGATAGTACAGGTAGTCCCAATGATGCCAACTAATACCCTCTAGGGAAGTAACTGATACTGACATTACAAATTTTGTTGCTTAAAAAGGGGTGACATCTAGTGGCTACCTATGTTATTTCAGACAAAGAGTATCCAAATAATATTTCCTGGTGGAATCTTTCATTCCTTATCAAGTATTTTTAAAGTATATACATTTAAATTATGTATTCTTCCATATCATTTAGCTACGCATTTATAGTACAATAATTTTGTTGTCAAAGCCTTTGATAAAGAGGTAGAACAAGATGAAAGCAGACATTAAAGAGAGAGGTATTCTAGGTGCAAGGTTAAACAGCACACACGTGTATTCATCAAAATAGGGAAACAAGGACATTACTGCCCACCTGGTGTAGAGAGGGGCCCAGGATATGAAAATGTGTACTCTAAAAGTGTAATATTCAGTATATAATTTTGAAGTATCTTTTATATGATGTTTCCATTAGCAATGGGTAAATTACATCTCTGCCAAGATATTTCACTTCCTTTTTTGTTTGTTTGTTTGTTTAAATTAGGCATTTGGCCATTGTTCAATACTGATGAACTAAGACTTTTTCCAAGAACATTTTCCCACTAAAGGGAATGAGTAAAGGTCAGAGTCAATTTACTGCATTAAGCATCATAACTCAAGCTGCTATTCTCAACCAGAATTTGAACTTTTCCTAGTTTATCATCACTTTATCTCATTCCAGTGTCATATGCTAAATATTGAATGAATTATATTAAATAGGACTGATCTTGAGTAAATACTATCTTGTACATTTTTTTCCTTGAGGGCTGACTGTGATTGTAAAGTTAGTAATTATTGCTCTGAAATATGAGCAATATGTCAGAGAAATACTATAATATTTCAACTGTAATAATTTGACAATCAGGTATATCACTAACATAAGTACTTAAATACCTTTTCATTTTTATTTTTAACTGTATAAACATTGTTTTTCTGGTGTACTTTAGATCACTACTTAACCTTTGGATTTTAGTGCCTTCAAAAATAAATAAAGCCCATGCAACATCTTCAATAAGCACCCATAGACTGCAATTCAAGATCCCACCATCTCCTCCCCCTAGTGTTTAGAGAAACTTGAGCATGAATGCAGGAGTGGATCGTATGAGCTATTAAGATTTGGAAGTAGGGAGGGTTGGGTGTGTGGGCTGGAATGGAAGTAAAAGGGAGAAAACTGTCCTTGAACAATGATTAAAATAAAATTTAAAAAAAAATTTTAAAAAGTTTTGTTCTACCATTTTACTTTTTTACCCTGTCCAGTGACATGACACATACTACAAAGCTGTTCTTCCTCGCTTTCTGTGATGGCACAGCATACTTCCCAATGATCCCATGTATTCGATCTCCTGAGATGCTCTTTTCTCCTGGGATTTTTTAATCCCAGAATAATCCCACTTTCTGAGTGACCAAGAATGATGCCTAATGATAATTTTGATGACAATGCTAGAATTTCAAATCATGCCAATACATTTGCTTCACATCTAGAGGTGTTTGATTGAAGGCTTTAAATAGATGGCATTTTTAAAACTTTATTAAGAGATTGAGTCATCTCTTTTATTGTAATAAGTAATTTGCAGGTTAAAAAGCACCAGCCAAAGAGGTTGGCTGACTTCAGTGTGTGGCTAAGGCAAATTTTAGAACTCAGAAATGTAGTTTTTGGGGTTTTTTATTATTACCACTTGGCAACTTGAAAAAAAAGGCAAATTAAACAATATTTATAAGAGCCTAAAAAAGATAAAGGTAAATATCAAAATTTTAGCAAAAAGATATAAAAATGATAAGCTTGTGCCATGCTTGGCCGAACTTTACAATTCAGGTTACATGAAGAGAACATCTAAAGTGTCTTTGTTCTGGGCAATGCTTACCTGGTATATTTGATCCCATATCCTTCTCCAGACAATACTGGAGAATGCCATAATCCAAAACTTATCTGTAATTTAAACTATGTTTGGTATCTCTGTAATCCTTTCTGGCTTACTAAACATTACATCCTTGCCTAGTACCTGAATAAGGTCCTCTTGTCCAAGGACTGAAAGAACACAGAAGTATAAGCAGCAGTAGCAAGGTGTGTGAATTCACAAGACTCCAGATTCTTTCCTGATATTGAATAGGCCAATATCAGGAGATTCTGAAGTGAGTTTGCACAGAATCTCTAGTTGAAATATGACCTAGACTTCCCAGGAAATCTGTTCTAGCTATTTAGCTTATTACTGAAGTTATTTGTTTAGTATTAACATGAATGACTTCTCAGCCATGAATTCTTGACCTCTCAGCCATATCAGATATACTTGACCATCTCCTCTGTCATTAACGTTACCTACTACAGCTCTAAGCTTCCAGTGTACCACGTTCTCTTACTCCTGTTCCAAAGTATGTGATTATTCCTCTATATTCTAGAAGAATCTCTCAGTGCCTCAACCCTTGGTCCTCTTGTCCAGGAGTATCTTTTCTACAATCATGATTTCAACAACAAACATTTGTGGAGGACACCAATTTCCACCTCTACCTACACCATTTACTTACTTTTTAGCCCTTATTTTTATCTGATTGGAAATTATAAGAGTTCCTGATTATCAAAGCATTTCTTCAGTCCCTGAAAATACATGATAATAGAGGAAAGCAAAGGCTGATAGGAAATATTCACTATGAACTACCCATGTACAAAATTAGCATTTATTTGCACCTTTTCCCAGTTAGTATTAGCATCTATATCTATTGGCCTCTTGCTGATTATAGGTGTTATAAATATCAGAAAACACAGTGAAAACACAATGAAATGTATTGTAAAGTAAAATATATCAAGAGATTCAGGAATTCATGATGCAATCGACATTAACGAACTACTGAATCACAAAATCATGAACAATGAGAATCTACCAGAGTTAGAACCATTAACAGATGAAGTAGAGGAATTTTGACACAGTACTTCAAAAACAAATGACTTGAACATCAATGATTAAAAGGAAAAGATAAATGCTTTAAAAATTTTTGAAGATATGATCATCTTTATTGTCATGCTGAAAATGTTAAATGTAAAATGAAAAAGATTATATTTTGCTATCATGTATTTGCCAAAATACATGAAAAAAATCAAACTGGATTTAGTATTTGTTCATTTTTATAATCATAATATTATAATTTTAATCATTATATCATAAAATTTTAAGTTTAAATTTTTAT